TGAACGTGCCCCTCCTCAGCAGCTGGTCTGGTTTTATTTAGATCCCTTGGGTAAGTGGTGGTGTTAGGGGAGGGGTCGGGATGTTCTGTGTGTTGCAACAGCAGTGTTTATTCCTGTGTGGAGTCCTGAGCCTGGTCTGGAGCTGGGTCTGGGTCTAGGGAAGTGTGGTGTAATCCCAAGCCTATCACCTGATGAGCAAAAGGACATGAACCTTGCATGCTTCTGAGAAACCCTCTTGTAGGCTGTGTTAAGCAATGTCTTCACGTGATCAGCTGAAGGAGGTAGTGATACTGTGTTTCACCAGATTAGGGTGTTTTGTTAGGATCCTGGTGTGCTTTGCCACTGAGCAGATCTGAAGCAAGCAGTTACCCAGGCTGAGCCTCTGCCACACGAGGTGGGTCTTAGTGAGTTTTGACCAGAGTAATTATTTCATAGCTGCTTGGTGCTGTTGAAAGGTTCTTGCCTTATGCTGTTATTTAGAGCAGCTCAGGCACTCGTGTTCTCTTTAGAGCATCTTCTTACCTCTGCTTGGTTTTATCCCTTTGGGTCTGTCCTGTCCACTTGCAAAGACTTTTCTCTTTTTCAGTGCTAGTGACTTATTGTTCCTCCTTTGCTCTCCACTTCACACACCAGTCTGGTGCTGAGCCAGGTCTGGATTCCCAGTTTTTATCTCAAACCCATGGTGTAAGCTCCTCCTTCACTGCAGTGTGTTTCCTCTTGCCCTCTCTGCACAGATCAGCAAACTGAGGTCTCCTCCCAGCTTATTCCCTCATCAGATGTACCCCCAAAATCTGTCCTCCACCCTGGCCTCTGTTTCTGTCTGCCTTCCTCTCTCCCTGCTCCCTGAATGTTGACTGGCATAATGACCCTCTTTCTGTCTGAAAAAACAGCCAAGTAGTATTGAGTCTCAGGATAGATCACAGTGGAATAGATATTTTAAGAAATTCTGCTCTTCTGGACTGAAACCCTTTGAGACAGACACCACACCTGCCTTTGGTGCCTCGTGACACCAAACACACTGCTGGCACCAGTTAATAAAGGTCAGTGCTTAACTCTGGTGTGGTGTGTAGCATTGAGCAGACTGGGAAATTAGATCTCACTGGGGTAGACTGGATGGAGGAAAAAAAGCTTTTCAGACATGGAAAAACACACCACCATCCTTTGCAACAGGTTGGAGAGCACCTGTGAGGAGCCCTGGGCTGAGAGCAGCTGGTGTATCACATCCTCAGGCCCTCAGCCCAGCAGCTGCTTTAGGTAATCTGTCAGTCTGGTGCTTGGTGGCACATCTCCAAAGCCACCCTGTACAAACATTTTGGTTGAGGATTTTTATTTATTTTTTTTTCCCCTCTGTCTTCCAGTAATTTATTTTTCAGGAGGTGAATCTTTCTTGCTGCCATCGTTTCTGTGGTGTGTGGCTGCTCTCCCACCTAAGCACTCCACTGCTCCCCATCTACTCTGCAAGTCCCTGTACAGTGGCATGAACAGGATTACTTGTGAGGCTTTAAAAAAATGCAAGAGCAGTGCATTGCATCTATGTAGGACTGAAAAGCCTGCAGTAAGTGAAGCTTCACTGAAGCAAGGAATGGCCTCTCTGTGCTGCAGAAATGGTCACTCTTCACTCAGTTCCTTTCTCAGCTCCAAACGGCTTTATTTCCTCTTCTCTGTTTTAGCTTTACCTTCTGGCCTCTGGTACTTTGTTTATTGCTGCAGTATTCCAGGACAGGTAAAAAAAAACAAAAACAAAAACAAAACCCCAACAGCTCGAGGCTCATGTGACTGCTCTGATTTCAGAGGGAAGGTATGTGAGGGCAGCCATGTGCTCGCACTATCTAGTTACGGTTTTGTGTTGGGGTTGTAGCAACTGGGATATGTTTTCCAGCTGTAAAATGCAAACCCCCTGTCTGCTTTTAGTCACAACAACAAGCATGTTTTGGTCTTTGAGACTGTCATACTTCCTGGGGTTAGTTAAACTGTCCCCTTCCTCTGGTGACAGACACTGAAAGGCTGAGCCAGCTCTGTTTGTTTTATTAGTTATGAATAAGTTACAGGAAAACAGTGTTTGGGATTCCCTATGTGCAACTTGGGAATCAGCAGCAGCAGTTTTATCCCAGAGCCTGGAGAGCTGGCTGCAGTGTGGTGGGATTTCTGGTGGGCTCCTGGTCCAAGGCTGGTGTGGACACAAGCTGGCCAGCCCTGGGGCTGCCCCCAGACCTTGTGTTGTCCCTGGCCCACTGAACGCCTGGGCTGGCATGGGCTGTTCTCCACAGCACTGGGAACATGGCTCAGGAAGGCCAGGAGGTGGCTGTGAGCACTAGGAAGGGACGTGAGCTCCTGTTCTGTGACCCTGTTTTTAGCACCTTTTGCAGGTTGTGAGACTGGAGGAAGTGTGAGGTGAAAAGTGAATACAGTGCACCTCTCCCAGCAGCTGGTGGCATCTGGTTTGCTTCTCAGATCAAGGCTGTGCTCAGCAAGCTTAGGTTCATGCACTAGGGTAATTTTGACTTTCCAAATTAAAGGTTATGTGAGCAGAGAAATTTTGAGTGGGAAATCTTTGGCATCCCACACGGAGCCTCAGCGACAAGTGTCCTGTGGCCAAGCCTGGTTCTGCTGCCAGTGTCATGCTTTGCTCCAAGACCCCTTAGAGACAGAGCACCTGCACCCCAGAGCAATGTCTTTAGGCCTCTAGTCTTGACCCTCCTCTCCTCTCAAGGGACCTGATTCTGCCCTGTGTCACATGTGAGGGCTGTAGCTGGTTATGGGGTTAGAAAGCAAATTCTGGGATGGATTGTTTTCCTTAGCTGTTGGGCACCCACAGCTAAACTGCTACATTGTAATTAGGCCAATAGCATTTGTTAATTAGTTTATTGCAGCCAATGGATGTGCCTGGGAGTGCCTGCTCACACTGGGAAGGGACTGGAGAGGTTTTGCAAGGTCTCCTGCAGATCCAAGGACCTTTCCATGGTATCTGCTCTCCTCCTAGGGGCAAGCGGTGGAAGCACAGCCCTGTGGCCATGGTCACTCGGCAAAGCCCTTGTGGATGTGGCTAGCTGACTTGGTCCCACTGCAAGAAGTTGCCTCCTTTGATCTGTAAGCTGGGGGCATGGGCTGAGTTTTTTGGCAGGTGGAGATAAGGAAGAGGGTGCAGTGCTGCTGGCAGTTGCTTGGCCTTGTGACTGTGCTTGGACCTTCCTAAAGGGGCTTTCCAAGACCTGGAGAACTCTTGAACTTCCTTCCTGTGAAAGGCAGGTGGTGTTTTGGCCAGCTTGTTCACTGTTGAGGATGTCTCCTGGTGTTTAGACACCCGCACTCACATCCACTCACCCCACCCTACCCCTCTGGTTACCAGACTCCAGTTACTGGTCACTGAAGCTATTCAAAGAAGGAGCCACAATGAAAATTGGACTTTATTCAGTGTCCACCATCCACTCATGTCTGGGTCTAGGAACCCTGTCTCTTCTGGTCATTGCTCATCTGGTAGCAAATGGAAGAGTGCTTGCTGGCTGAGAGAGGCCCAAATTCTGTAGTCAATTAACCGTTGCATTTGAGTAGGCTGATAAAATACTGCTGGGGACCCAGTGTGTGTGGAGCAGAACAGTGCTGTGGGAGTTAGCTGCTGGAAAGTGGCTTCTTACTGGATCAGCTTCAGCAGCAGGTTTGGCCCTGAGGCACTCAGGTGAAGCTGCTGTTGTGGTCGATGACTGCAGTATTTGGCAGAGTTTTTCACATAGGTTGCATCCTCTAACAAGGAGGGTCTGGCTCTGCTATGGCAGAGCACTGCTCACTGGTTTTATTTGCTTTTCTTCCCCCCAGCAAACAGAGGCACAATAAACTGTGGCGCTCACACTCAGACAGTGACCTCTCAGACCACCACGAGCCCATCTGCAAGACTGGGCTGGAGCTGAACAAAAAGGAGATCACCACCTCGGCCGACCAGATCTCAGAGGCAAAGACCAACGACAACCAGCAGCCAATGTCTCCCATCTACTCAGCTGAGCTTGAAAGGGAGCAGCAGCTCCCAGAGGATGCAGGCACGATTGAGGAGATGTGTGTGAAGGAGGGGATCCACCTGGAGTTCACGTGTCGGGACTTCCACGCGGAGCAGATGGAGGACAAGCTGAACCTGAACAATATCAATGGCTACACGGCAGGGTGTTGTGTAGACTCTGTTCCCCCTGATAACTGCCACGCTTCTGAGGCCTTAATGCAACTCCAGCACCCCTTGGAAATTTCAGAGTTTCCTGATTTGACAGTGGATGACCTAGAAAAAGATGCCCTTAAGCCTGATATGAACGTGCACTTGGTTCCCATGGAAGAATTCACTTCATGTTTAAAAGACTTTCCCCAGTCCCCAAACCAAAATTCCCCGAGTCTCCAACAAAACCCCCAGCCCGAAGTGACTGACCTCAGTTCAGACAGGATTGATTTCTTCAGTGCTTTGGAGAAATTCGTGGAGCTTTCCCAGGAGAGCCGGCCACGCACCTGCTCCCACTCCAGGGCGGAGGAGCAAGGGAGTGGAAGGAACGGGGTCTCCAGGGTGCCTGTCCTGGAAGTGCTGCCTGCTGCCGACGGGGCTGCAGATGCTCAAAGGAACAGCTCTGCAAACTCTCCTCAGGCATCAGATGACTCTTCCACAGAAGAAGAACAACAAAAGGTTAAAATAACTTGCTCATTTTTTAATTTTAGGAACTGCTGCGTGAGCCTGTCTGCAGGTAGTGCTCTGGCTGTGAGGTTGCTGTGGACAGGGGATATTCTAGTCCTGGCTTTCACTGGCCAGGGCAGCTGTTTGGGGAGGGGTTGCTAAATGCTTCCCCTTTTCTTCACTTTTAGATACTTGCCCTTTTCTGCACTTTTTCCTTAAACATCTGTTTGCTGGCAGTGGCTGGGCATTGGCTGAGTCGCCCTTGACCTGACCTGCTGTGCTGTTCTCATGAGAAACTTATTTTTGAGTTTTGCATGAGGAGAGCAGATAGGTGGGACTTGACCCACTAAAGCAGCTGAACCCTGAATGGCTGAGGCCAGCCAGCATCCCAGTCCTGTGTGGATATTTATCTGACTTGAGAAATTCACCACAGAAAGGGACAAAATTGGCTCCTTTCCCTGACTGGGAAGCACCAGCATTGGGATAATACATCAAGGCAAATGTAGAGCTTCCACTGCTGGAGGAGGAGGAGAAGGAGCCTGGCCAAGCCTGGGGTGATGGGATCAGGCACGTCATGGCTTGCTTCTGTCCTGGGTAGAGTGATGTTCCTGACAAAATTTAGTAACCTCTGAATTGAGGTACCTTTCTCTTGTAATTGCTTTCCACCCTCCAGGACTCTCACAAGGATTGATGGTGTCTGGGGCCATCATTTTCTGGGAGCCTCTCTTATTTAAATTCCACGCTGCATTGCTTGAATCTTTTCCATCTCCATGTGAGGCAATAAGGCTCTTCCAAATATAATAGGCCAACGCTCTCTCCAGTGATTTGGCAGAAGGAGTGTCTGTGTGGATGGGCCGTTTTCCTCTGGGAAGCCAGAGCATTTCAGCACTCAGTCATTCTTTATGCTGGGCTTCTCTTTGCTCCCCTACGTGAGCAGAATCATTCACATTTTCAGTGCAAAACTGCACTTTTAGCAGCATTAGGATTTTTTATTCTTGTTGTTAACTAGACTTTTCTGTATTAAGAAAGGCTAAATTTCCCTTGGAATTCATGACAACTAAATAAAGGTTCTCAAATTCCAGTCTAGGTAAAAATCCAGGCTGGAATATATTAAATGCTGTTGCAGAGACAGTTATGATTGTCTCGTCTGTGTTGGTGATCATGGCATTTGTAATCTATCCCCACACACTGGCACGTGCAGTCTTTGTTCTTTTGGGGATCTGCACCCCCATTTCCTTCGGGCTGCTGCCATTTGCTGGGGGTCAGCACAGCTGATCCACTGTGTAATTCTCCCATTTCTGTGTTGCAGGAGGTCCCTGAGCTGCCCAGCACAGCCTGTCTCACAAGATCCCACTCAGAAAATGCTATTTCTGTGAAGGAGATTATCACAGAGATCGAGTCAATCAACCAGGGAGCAGGACCTGCCCAGCAGAAGGAGGGTTCGACCAGCCTCACCCAGACACCAAAGAGGAACACGGTGCACGACCTGCCCGTGGAGGCGATTTGGGCATCGGAAAGGGCCGAACAGAGCGAAGGAGCCTGTGCTGGACACCAGGAAAAGGACCCTCTGCAAGCTGAGCAAGAAGCTGCCCCCGCTCTGCAGCTGTCTTCTGGTAGATCAGACCTGGAGGAAAGCAGCCCTGGTGGAGAGCAGCAAGAGCCTCGTGGCACCATCAACCCCGAGCCCAAGTGGTGCCCCGGCTCTGTCCGGCGAGCCACCCTGGAGTTCGAGGAGCGGCTGAGGC